CTCCCCCGGCAGTGGAGCCCACCTACGCCGCGCCCGCTCCCGCCCCAGCCCCCGCTCCTCTACCCCTTCCTCCTCTCCAGCCCGTTGAGCAGACCTACGTGCAGGCGCCCTCCAGAACCATCACTCCCCACGCCGAGTACGGTCCTCCCGGCTATCAGCCTCCTTCCCTCGGCGCCGCCCCCGCCCCAGTCTTCGGTGCCGCCCCTGCCGCCGTCCCTGCTTTCAGCGCCGCCCCCACCTTCGGTGCCGCCCCCGCCCCATCGGCCGGCACCTCCGGCCTGAGCATCAACGAGAGCTTCGGCCAGACAGCGTTCGCCTCGGGCCCCGGCTCTGAGGGCGGCTACGTGTCCTCGTTCACCTCCTCGAGCTCCGGTCCCAACGGCGAGGGCAACTTCATCTCCTCGTTCGCGTCGGCCCCCGCTGGCGGCCCCGTCACCGGCGGAACCTACTCCACCAGCTTCCCGTCGTCATCGGCCTCGTCCGGCGGCGGCGTGCCCGGCACCTCTTACGGCACCCCCTTCTAGGAATGTAAATAACTTAAAAACCCAAATCCTATTTAATTAGCTAATTAAAGTGATATTATTTATAAACACATTGTTACTTCCTTATTGTGGAATATTTCCCTTCACTGCATCTTAATGCCTTTGCCAATATAATGTCGATTGGATGTCAAAAAAATAAAACAAACAACAATTGAATTGGCTCCTCATCGTATTTGAAATATAAATGATCCTATGAACCGATAAACATGGTCGATTCAGCTAAGGAGCGACGGAATAACTTTTCGAAAATGAGAACTTTAAGAAAGGTCACGTCGTCTTGTTGACCCTTCGAGTTCAAGGTCATCAGAGACCTCGGCATCTTCTGTTGTGGGCTCCCGCCTTGATAAGCATCTACGCGCCATGTGTTCTACGAGCCGAGTGACCGCAGGCCCCTGTGACAAGATCATTGTTTTTTCTGTCCATTTTTCTTTAATTGTTTTCATTCCACGAGGTGAAATGTAGAAGGAAGTAGTGAATAGGCATAACAATGCGAGAAGGGAACCAAAAGGGAAAATATGGTGCAAATTATTGCACAGTTAATAGTTAAGCCACTGCAGCTGTAGTGGCGCCTGATTGCTACTCCACAAAATGAGGTATCGAAATTCAACTGAGAGGGAAAGGGGCCACACCATTTCTTCCCTCCCCGCACATATCATTTGTCATCCCCCACTCACTGAGGCCCGCCGCTGTCGTACGCCGATGTGATTCACACGATAACGGCCTTAAACGCCGTGGGATGAGACACCCGTTCCCATAGCGGCCCTGCTCGCCCGAGCGCCGAATCAGCCGAGTGCAGCGCGGCCCCAACAACTGCCGGCGGCGCAAAGCTGTCGGCCACTCCAGAGGCCTATCGCCGTGGCGAGGCCGGCCCCTCGGGCTCCAGACCCCCCCCCTCCTCCTCCTCCCCCACCTGGCACCCTGATAACGGCAATAGGATTATAACGGTTTAAGGGCGCTAATCGACGCGAGCTTATTCACACCCGGCTACTGGAGCCCCCACGCCACGATATGCGAACCCTGTCCCAGACTACACTGCGCGGGGTGAGACGGGTGAAGGGTCGTGGAACTTTACCACTACCAACAAGTGAAGGGGAAGGTGAGGGAAGTGGAGGGGTGGGTGAGAGGCGTGGAGAGAAACCTCATGTCAATGTGATGGAAAGTTTGAAGTTAGTGCTGCTGGTTTGGAGTGATTCCGTTTAATAGAAATACGAAATGTGTCCGTAATTAGACTATAACCGCAAGCACGCGGACGGCCGGGTTGCCTATTCGGCTCTGGCGCCATATGGTCAAAGAAGTTACACCGTAAACTGGCTGGCGTATTTTAACGCCAAATTATTGGTGTCCTCTAAAGAACTCCAAATATTGGCGTTCTTCTTTCTTAGAGTGCCAAATTTGAACGCCACTGTTTGGCGTTCATTAGAGGACGCCAATATTTTGGCGCTAAAAGACGCCAAATACTTAAACAGTGTAACTACGAATGCGGACGGGTCCAGGCCCAGACGCGGTAAGGTCCGGGGTTGCCTACTTACAGGGTTTTTGTGGCGCAAATTACCTACCCTTCAGGCGGCTACTAGAGACGATGCGAGGCGGTCGCACCCCCCCCCCCCCCTTCTCTCCCCTATACCGCGCCTGGACGGGCCGAGTGAAGGTTTTTGGTGGAGGGCATTGAGAGCGTAGCGTAGACAGCGGCAGAAACTCCGCTAACGAAAATTTCTATATTGATGACACTATCTGTTTCCTAAGGGCACCGGAATCTATTCTTCAATGGTGTACCGGGTGTAACTGTGAATACGCAGCAGTGTTGCGGGATTGCATACTCAATGTGGCCGCGGGTACCATGGCCCCCTACGGGTGTAAAGAGTAGGCAAACCCGCAACACTGCTGCGTATTCAAGTTACACCCGATACGTACGTTTCATTGAAATGAACACACTATAGCCTAGAAACCACAGTACTCTGAAATTCTACACGATAATTAAAATCGAATGTGAATTACACTTAGTTGTCCCATGCACACCCGGGGCGCGAGCTAGCCACACAGAGAGAGAGTAAGGAAGGGGTGGGGTTGGGGGCAGGGGGCACAGCGCCGCGGGACATGTTGTAGGGAGTATAAAAGAGCTGCCGATGGCCGAGTAGTCATCAGTCCATCACAGCTGCCGAACGACAAAAGTCGTCACACCAACAAGATGCAGCAGGTGAGTCGAGAGGCACCGCAAGTGTTGGTCTTTGAACACGGACAGACTGGGAAAACAAAGATAACCCAGGCGTCACTGCATTAAATGCTCATGAAAGGTGACACATTGGTGACGAATTAAAGGCGCGTTATGCACAATAAATGCTGTAATGCGCTTTAAAAGCGTCACCAATGAGTCACCTGTTATGTGCATTTCTACGCACATTGGAGCGCATATTTAATGCGCTTGGCGCTACTGGGGAACAATATAAAGGACGGCACTGCCGGACCAAAAACCTATACGCCCACTTTGGCGTTGGTATTACTGTTATACTGTTTGAAACATGGAGTAAAAACAATATTCATAATTATTTCTTTTGTTTGCATCAGATTTTCTTGGTCGTTATCCTGAGCGGGTGCGCGCTCGCGGCCCCCCAGTACCCCGCCCCCGCCGCCGAGTACGGGCCGCCAGGTTACGCTGCGCCTGCGCCAGCCCCGCTACCAGAGATCGTTCCTGCCCCTGCACCCCTCTCCCTGCCCGCTCTGCCCGCCCCCGTCTACCAGGCTCCTGCCCCCGCATACCAGGCTCCCGCTCCCGCCTACCAGGCTCCTGCCCCTGCATACCAGGCTCCCGCTCCCGCATACCAGGCTCCCGCTCCCGCCTACCAGGCTCCTGCTGAAGCACCAGCCGCCCTGCCGCTCCCCTCCATCGGTGCCCCTGCCCCGGTCTACAGCGCTCCGACAGCGGCCTACCAGGCTCCCGCTCCCGCCTACCAGGCTCCTGCACCTGCCTACCAGGCGCCCGCCCCAGCCTACAGCGCTCCCGCTCAAGAGTACGGCACCCCCGAGGCTGCTCCCGCCCCGCTGCTCCCAGCACCTGCACCCCTCTCTCTACCAGCTGTGCCCGCTCCCACCTACCAGGCTCCCGCTCCCGCCTACCAGGCTCCTGCACCTGCCTACCAGGCTCCCGCTCCCGCCTACCAGGCTCCCGCTCCCGCCTACCAGGCTCCCGCTCCCGCCTATCAAGCTCCCGCTCCCGCCTATCAGGCGCCCGCCCCCGCTGCGCCAGCCGCCCTGCCTCTCCCTTCATTCGCCGCAGCCCCAGCCCCAGCTTACAGCGCACCCGCCATCATCAAGCCTGCAGCTCGATACGGCCCACCTGGATTCTAGACAGTATCCGGGATGGGGTACCTGTTTGCCCTCTGCAAGTCATTTAGATGTAAGGCTTAGTTGTGTACCTGCCAAAACTGTGTCATTGTTCCTAGATGTTAAATAAACTGTTATTGAAATGTTGAATTTTTGAACTAGTGTGGTATCCAATTCACTTACAAAATATGGCTGTTAAGTCCAAGCCAGCACTAAAGACTCAAAACATGTGTAGGAAGATACATGACCCAGGTAGCAAATCCAGGAAAACTGCATCACTACTGCATTATATGTCCAATCTATAATGCGCCTGAAATGCGCATAAGGCGCTTTCAAGCGCATTTAAAGTGTCTTATGCGCAATGTAGGCCCATTTTGAATTGGACATATAATGCAGTAGTGATGCAGTTCTGCTACCTGGGCGATGATGAATGAACACAAAGTGACCTTACAAATGAAATTTTACTTATTCTCTGGAATTTTCTCCATAATCCAAGAGGACAACTTGGCAAGCTCTTTCCTATCTAACTCATGTGAGACATTAGGTAACAAATTATATTCACCAGGAACGCCAAGTTTTGATAGGCTCGCATATGTTTCCTTGCCCCACTGCTCTAAAATCAAATCATCAGCTGTACCATGGCACATAAATAATGGTGGAGTTTTGCTGGTCTTATCATTCTCAAGGCTCTGGAAAGAAAAAAATATGCTTGAGCAAAAATTTTTAGTTTAAAGCGCTGAGTCCCAAGGTTGCGCTTTTTACTTGTAAAATGTTGCTATATACAGTAGCAATGTGGGGCTCAACGTGTTAAATTAGTAATGAAGAACCTGTCAAACATTGTTTTACCTTATATACATTAGAAGAGAAGGGGAGAAAGGATGACAACGCAAAAACTCCAGCAACACCTCTCAGATAGCGATACCCCAGATGGAGTGACATGCCACCACCCATTGAGAATCCTCCTTCAATATCCAAGAAAGACATCAATTGTTAGTACAATCACAAATATAGCAAACAAAATATCAACAAAAATTACTTATGATGATCAGAGTTTCTACCCATCTTACCAATGACAATCCGACTGAGAGGTACACCTCTTTTGACTTCGTTGTTGACAATATTGACCAACTCTTTTGCTGTTGCGTCAGTGGTTTCAATATGCTCAGGAGCATCAGGTGAAAGCTTCAATCTGTCAAACCAAACATTGGATGGCTGAAATAATGTGGTATATTAAAAATATTAAATTTATTCAAAGCCTTAAATGCTATGGCAAAGGTAAACAAACACCAAGGCAAAACCCTCACCATTCCACAGTTGGGCGTAAAAGGTAGTAAGGGGGCAGTTGGGAATAGTACTCGAATATGCGGAAAAGAAAATTTATGCAGTGATTTCACCCAACTAAAAACTCCATGACCCGTATCACCTGTAAATAGTTATCAAGTCTATAAGATTTTATGTCAAAAAATAATTTGTGTATTTAAAATACTACTGAAACTAACCTGAACCATGTAGAAAAATCACAGTGCCAGTACACTCTTTACCTTCCTCTTTGATTATCTGTAAAGGCTCTGTGATAAGAACATTGCTTTCCGACATTTTAATGAATTGCTACAATGCAAAAAAACTACAAATTTGTTGACAAACAATCAAAGCTGCATAGAAAATATAGAAATACAAAAACTATGCAACAAATCCGAAACCAAATCCAAGAATGATTGGGTGTGAGGTGGGTGAGGGTGGGGTGACATCATATGCACCTATTCAAACATAAGTTCTCACACAGAGTGTAAGGAGCAGATTTAATTATTGTAATGTAAAAAGAAAAAGCACAACAAATTATAGTTTTGAAAATAATATAGTTTACTTTAAATAGCAGGGAAAAACTTTTAAAGACTAGGAAAAAGCAGAAAAGAAAGTAATGTTTTTATCACTCATGTTGGTTAAAATGATTATTAAATCAACAGGTAGCCTAGCAGACGACAAGAAAGGACAGCCGTGGCCGTGATAAGCCTCTTGGAATAAGCAGATGGTGAGTTGTAATCACGATAGTCAATACCCAGAATCCTTCCATTTCAAAGGAAACACTGAAATCGGAGCGGTTGGTTAACCGCACACAAAGACATGAGCTTTGGCGTACTCTGTCAACGGTTCCAAAGTTGACTACGTCTACTCCCAGCGGCGCGTAAGGTTTGAAAGTAGTCTGGGTTGTGATGTGTGGGCTGGTGTGGGCCTTGGGCTTGGGTGAATCCCAGCTTTTCATGCGGTCGGTTGGACTGCATTTCTTTCAAATATTAATTTCAATAGCTAGACCAAGGAAAATTGACCTAAGGCTCCAGTGAG